TCTTGGGTCTCTCCCAGTCCTCCCCAGTCTCTCCCAGTTGCCCCAGCTCCATCCCCTGGTGGCATTTTCACCCCTTGCAGTGTCTCTTCTTGGGGATGGGGCAGGGGCAGGAATTGTCCCCATCCCCATCGCTGTCCCTGAACAGCTCCTAAAATACGCTGAGTCAGGGGAATCCTCAGGCCGTGGGGACACCCCAGTGTCACCAACGTCTAAGCCTGTTTTGGGGCCCCCACATCCAGAGGCATCACCCGGAGCACCGACACCGGCATCACCGTCACTCAGGGTGGGGACACTGGACGCTACGGGACACCACGGCGGCGGTGGCTTTCTGCAGGCGGTGCAGGAGGAGCCCCATCTTGTGCCGGATGGAGTGGTCCAGGTTGACGGTGACGCCGAGGAAGGTGTGGGCATCGCAGGCGGTGAAGGGGAAGTCGCTGGCAAGGAAGGTCTGGAAGAGTTCGGAGTCCCCGTCCAGGCTGAGGACGTTGTGCAGGGGCTGCCGCAGGGCGCTCAGCTCCCCCATGTTCTCCTGGAAGATGCTCCACAAGGATCGCGTGCTGAAATCCGGCGTCGGCTGGTTCTGCCAAGCATCCTCCAGGCACTGCAAGGCCCAGCTCAGCCGGCACGGCCACTGGTCGGCCAACACCACCCAAGCGGCGGCGGCACGGGGCGAGGGGGTGCCGGGGTTGCCAGCACGGTGCAGCAGGAGACGCAGGGTGATGGGAATTGTGTTGACAATGCGGCGGATGTGGGTGCCGTTGGGGGGGAGGTAACGGGTAAGAGGGTCGGCACCATCGTGGAGGCAGCGGAAAGCTTCATGGATGCAGCGGACAGCTTCGGCGTCCACCTCCCGCCAGCTGGGAACCACCGGGACGCCCTGGCACTTGGCTCGGCGTCGTTCCACGTTGCTGGTGATGATGCGGTACATGAGGTCCTCCCGCGTTTGGACGGCGGCTTCCAAGCATTGCAGGCGGGAGCGGGCACCCATCTCCGGGATGGAGAAGGGCAGCGTCACCGTCCGGTTGAGGTAGAGGTAACCATTGTCAGCGAGACCCTTCATGCAGCTGGTCTGCTCCAGGCAGGGGATGATGACGCTGGGATCCACGGCCAGGATGAAGATGAAGGGGCTGTTGGCATCGGAGAGCAAGGTGTTCATGGCGTTGAGGACGCCAGCCACCTTCTCCGGGTAGCAGATGTCCAGGCTGGTGATCTCCATCACCACGCGGAGCCGTCGGCGTTCAAAGATCTCCATGAAAGCCAAGAAGTCGACCAGCACCTCCACCTCGTTGCGCACCTTGCTCATGAAACCCAACTGGCTGGTGAACTTCTCGCTGTTGGTCAATCGCTCGATCTTCTGCTTCTCGCTGACCAACAGGTTCTTCAAGACAGAGAAAGCTCCCAGCACCAAACCGGAACCGGAGAGCGAGGTGATGGTGCTGCCCACCACCTTCAAAGCATGGTGGTCCTTGATGCCGGGCACCAAGATGGCCACCAGCAGGACGCTGAGGCCGGCGCCCAGGACGAAGAGCATCCCCCAAAGCTTCAGGCAGGTGCCCCTCTTGAGCACCCATTCCTTCTGGCTGAAGCCGGAGGCGAAACGGGGCCGGGTGCCCATGACATGGTAAACACTGAGGGGCAGAGCCCCAAAATGGTGACGGATGCTGTGGCAAAGAGTGGTGACCAAACCGGCCCAGAGCTTGTCACAGCCGGCGTATTGCCAGGCACTGAAGCGGATGAAGATGAACTCGATGTTCTTCCTCCGCAGGTGGCTTTCGGTGATGACGGGCTCATAGAAAGCCAGGTACCAGAGGGCCAGGAGCAGCCCCCAGCCCTC